CTCTCAGAAGCAAGCATATAACCACTTCAGAGACTTGGGGAATTAGGTTGTTTTTTTTTTTTTTTTTTTTTTACAGAAACCCTTTGCTCTGCATAAATGTCAGTCTGTAATGCATAAGAACATTTGCTCCACTCGCTGCAAAGTAAGAGAGACCAGTTCATTGTGTTCAACAAAATGACCTGTGCATAGGCTGGTGGTTTTTACTCCACCTGAGCACATGGGCAGACAGAGTAGCCTCGACATTTTTTAACATTATATTTTTAAAAGGTCCTGTAAAGCCGAAAGAGCAGCTCAGAACTTAACAGATCTACTGATTTAAGCTGGTCCTGCTTTGAGCAGGCCATTGCAGCACCTCAACAGAGCTCCCTTCCAGACTCTGTTATTGTATAAAGACTAGATTGCTGATATCTCCATTATAAGAAGACACAGGATGATTTACAGACCAGTCTCTTTGTTACTGCGTTTGGTGGGGAAAGGGGGCAGAGAGGAAGGTAAAGAAGTGAGGAAGTCTTGCACCAGCCTTTTCACGTGGGCTGAGGTTAGGGATGAATTTGAACCGTGCCAAAAGCCTGAGAACTCAGGTACTCACACCTAAGAAGGGACACAGACTATAAATGCCAAAATGAGCCTGGAAACCCCACACATGAAGCACTTAGCTCCAAAAATAGGTTAGGCACCACCAATTTGCTGGTAATTCCTATCCTGCATCTCAGTCTGGGCCAAATGATACACACATAGAAGGATGTTTCCTGGACTTTCTGAATTACTTTCATGTTTTGCTTAGATCCCTTTTTTTTTTTTTTCCTTTCTAAAAAGTCCCCAAGAACTGAATAACAGAGATTCCTCAGAAGTAACCAGGAACAATAGCTGGTTCTGCGCAATCCATCAGAAGCCCCAAGAATCCCCATCAGCAGGAGTTTATGGTTCGTGTTGGGGATAGCACCAGTTTCACTTGAAGTTTGCTGCCATCCATGGAAATCGGTCACTCTGAGCCCCCAGCTCGTGTTGGGGATAGCACCAGTTCCACTTGAAGTTTGCTGCCATCCATGGAAATCGGTCACCCAGTAAAACAAAACCAGAGGAAGAGAGTGGCACACATCCCTGTAGGTCAAAGCCAGGGAGTTTCATAAAGTATTGGACACAACAGCACTTTACTCTGGGCAGAGATGAAGGGTATGTTATTCTCCTCAGGAGAACGAGCTCCCAGCACCAGGAGTTTGTCTTGATGGACTGACCCAAGAGGATGTTACCATTGCCATGCCCTTTGCTGTGCCGTGCACATATTGTCCTCACTGGGAACATGAAAACGGACTCGGATGTGGTAGTCAAACAACAAAAACGATAGCCAGATCTACAAGAAGAGAGAGGAGCCAGCCCGAGCTGCCCTCCCCGTGCCATACCCACCTACCCAGAGGGTGAGTAGATCTGCTTTGCAAAGCACTCCATCTGTGAGTGATGGCAAAGAGCACCATCTGAAAAACAAAAAGAGCGCCGTCTACAGCGTCCTGGAAGCACCGTTTCTGGGGGTCATCTCCACGACAGGTGATGGCCAAGCACAGGCGACCAAGCACACCCCTGTTTGAAAGCTGGTAACAAACAAAACCCAGGCTTTTTGAGGACTACTGTCTCCCCTTGAACTCAGTCAGATTCCATATAATACTGCTATTAGAAGCAATTTTCAAAAGTGAAAACCAAAAGATCAGTAAGACTGGTGTAGCCTGCACAGGTCCTTTCACACACCGTTCCCTAGAACAGCTGAAAACATCCCCTTTTCCACAAAACTGTAACCTCCTTGCCTTTCAAGACCATACAGAATGGCTCAGACCACAGTCATCTGGAGTCTTAACCTTAGCAAATACAAGCTTAGGCAAGAACATTCTGTTCTTTGGTGCTGGGACCATGAGTAGTGCCGTTTTGAAGCCAGGCATCAACATTATGTTCATGGCAGTAGGAAGAAGAGTTCATCATAGGATTTCTCCTTTCCAACAGTCTTGTTTTTCCCCAGTTTCATAGAATCATAGAATGGTTAGAGTTGGAAGGGACCTTAAAGATCACCAAGTTCCAACCCCCCTGCCCTGGGCAGGGACACCTCCCACCAGACCAGGTTGCTCCAAGCCCCATCCAGCCTGGCCTTGAACCCCTCCAGGGATGGGGCAGCCACAACTTCCCTGGGCAACCTGGGCCAGTGTCTCCCCCCCCTCACAGCAAAGAATTTCTTCACCATCATCCAGATCACATAAAGATCCAGATCTAAGTAGAAAAATCTCATTCCAAGTTTTGAACTTTGCATTCTTTACTTCAAGATCTATGTCCCCCTACCTATCTGTCCACTGCTTCTTTTTGGAGTGACAACTCCAGCCTCAGCCCAGGCCTAACATTTTCTCTCATCCAGCAGTGAACGAGTGTTAATGACTGTTAATTCTTACAGAAAAATGAGATCCTTTGCTGAACTTTATGAACCAAAGTGTCACAACAGCTGCTACCCGTGTGAAGACTCAAATGGAGCAAAAGTGGTGCAACCAGCTTTGACCAGCAAAGTCAGTCCTGCATCTACCTGTACTTCACGCTCTCTCTTCCCTTACTGAGTGACAACTCAAAATCCTAGACACCCAGGCCAAGAAAACAGGTAACCCCCCACGCTGCTTTACTCTTGTATGAAATGCCTTCTTGGCAACAGCTGCTTCCAAAATTCAGGAACTGGTCCTTAGGTGGGATGGGCCGCAACACGCAGCGATGTCCCGCTCCGGTGGCTCACCACACGCACCAGGCACCTGACCTAGGCTTTGCAGAGACACGCCAATACTTGAAGCACTGTGAGAGGGTTAAACACGTTCCCTCCCTGCTGCAGTTAACAAAAATCCAGCTGGATTTGGGCTCTGCTCTGCCGAGACTCAGGGCCGGCAGAGGGAGTGCAAGCGCAGGCCTCATTTCTGCCTTCCGAGCCGCAGCAGCTCGTTCCCTGTTTCTCCTAACGCAGCAAAGCTGACACTACCAGTGACAGCCACAGCAGAAAATTGTTTCAAGTGAAGCCCAGGAGAAAAAAAATAAAAAGAGTATGAAAAAAAAAAAAAAAGCACCTCTTTCAATGTCCATCAAACGGGAAAGGACAAAAAGCCCCAAACAGAATCAAACGTTACCTCGGGAATAACGCAAAGCATTTTGCAAATATTTGAACATAAAGTGGAAAAATAATAACGGAATGAGACCTGTCAGCATTTGTAAGACTGGATAAATAGGATCATTTTTAGCATTCGTCCTCATTCCAGAAAATAGCCATCCTCCATACACACATCCTTGTTTTAGCCCATTCCACCGAATCTGACTCCAAAAGGTTCTCATCACAGTAAATACTGGAAGAGCACCAGCACACCTTTTACAGAAGGGGCTGTGGCATTTTGGTTTGCTTTTTTGTCACACAAAACCACGAGGAGTGTGTGATGGCCTCTCTCTGGAATACAGAGCCCCAAAAGCGAAGGCAAAAGAGAACCGGACTCACCTCATCCAGTTTGCTTTGGTTTCATCTGTCCCATCGATGGATTTGTAGCGGTTGTTCTTATCAACGATCTGCAGGAGGAGAGAACGGAGGCAGCGTGTCAACTGGCTGGTCCAGGCAGGAGAAGGTCTAAGACTCTCAGTTCCAGCCTCAAGTCAGGACACAAAACTCTACAACATGAACCTCAGCTCTCTGAGTAGGAGCTGATGCCCTGGGTATTCACGTGGAGGCTACTCTGAACTGACAATGCAGCTGACAAAATCGTTAACAGTCCCGAGATATAAAAAATTAACTTCCCTTTCAGGGCAGATCCGACACACACGTTTATTTTACAGACACAAAAGCATGGGCAACATTTCCTATCAGCAGCTCTTGAAATTTTTCCCCATCTAAAACTCAAGTCCCGCATCTCATTTCTCATAATAAATAATATCCGTCCATCTACTGACATCTCTATCTTGTAGGCTAACAGAGGCCTGTAGCACTGGGAAAAAAAAAAGATAAAATACAGTTTTTGGTGCTGGAGTCTGCATGTAGATCAGTTCCTGATGGACTGAATCTCCTCCTCGGCCCCTCAGGCCATCTGGTCTGTCCAAAGAGACTGGGAGGAGTTGCTGGAGGTCTGCAATCTCTAAATGCAATCTTTCCTCTCTACTCAAAATGATTACCAGAGCAGAGAAAGGCACTGGAGAAGCCATTGAGGTTGAGTGGAGATAGAAGAACATGGTGAGAAGGAGAGGAGAAGCAAGCTCTGCTTCCTACCGCTGTGAAGTCAACTCAGGTGCCGTGACATCCAATCTCCTTCCATGTCTCTATACCCTTAAGCCACTAATAATTATGGCGGGTCAATATTTGCCTACAACCCATGTGGGGCAACGGAAGATCTTCACAAGAAGGGGGAAGATGGCTCAGGTCTGACTCCCCAGGCCCGTGAGTCCCTCAGCTGTGAGCTGCATGGCTGGGGTGTCACTTCTTTAGGGAGATACGTCACTCACCAGCCACGAGAAGAATCCTGCAGACTTGTCCTGGCTAGAGATCTGCCCCTCGTACGGCCCGAAGATGTGACCTTTGGGGATCACCTCGTTCATACAGCGCACGTCGTTCTCCCCGTTGGGCTCTTTCACCACCTCCATTCCCGGCGGGATGGTCAGCGCTGCCCGGTCGGGGATGCCAACGGGCACTGGGGTGTCAGAGACAAAGACGGGGGGGCCGTGGTTCGGGCACTCATCCACGAAGTACTCTTGGCAGGACTCACAGACTGTGGGGGCGAGGGGAGCAGGGGTTAGGCCGGGCAGACATGATGCTCACGCGGCTTGTAGGAACTCTTGGCAGGACTCACAGACTGTGGGGGCAAGTGGAGCAGGGGTTAGGCCGGGCAGACACGATGCTCACGCGGCTGGTAGGACACACGGCGCTCAGGACAGCACGTCCTGGCTCCCCGGCCCTGCCGAGCCCCCTCTGAGAGCCCGGCCTCCATGTGCACAGATGCTTCACTGGTTGCTCCCTGGTTTCACCACACGTCTCTCGACGAGGGCTCTGCCCCAACCCACACCTCCCCGACCAACCCCAGTGCTTGACTGAGCCCTACGGAGATTGGCCACCCATGGGAAGACCCCACAGAGACAGAGGCTGGGGGCTCCTCAGGCATCACTGGTTAGCAGCAATGTCCTTAAGCTGAAAGGTTTCATTCCCCACACACCAGATGGGAACTAAAACAAGCATCCCTGAAAACAAATACCATCATCATACAGCCTTCATCTTGTGCTGGGGAGAGAGACAGCATCCCCAGGCACTTGCCCGGTGGCCAGGCAAGGACTGAGACCTACAATGGGATATTTTGTAGGAACACCAACACAACTGGCACCTGTTTTCTTTCCCAGAAGATGGGGCAAGGCAAAGAGTTGCCATCTGCGTGATGCTCCCTTTGCAGTTTCTGAACCCAAGCCGTTGGGTTTTGCAGACCCTCGGGGTTCCAGAACACTTTCCACCTACCTCCCTACTGCTGCATAGCCCCACCATGGACAAGCTGTTTTGCTTCCCACCCCAAACCAGCAGGACGCCTACTAGGAAAGACCCAAGCAGAGGCATTGCTCTTGCCTCACTCACGAGACACTTACACCAGAAATCCACTTGCTGAAAGCTCTTGGTCATGATCAAATCCCGTTTCCCTTTCAGTTTCTTGGGCTCCACCTCCATGGACTGCGGGTCAGGCCTTCCAGAGCTGGGGAGGGAACACCAAAAGATGACGTTAACCTTGAGCTTGAGCACCTCCAGGGGTGGCACACACACTTGGCACATCCCTCAGGGGGCAGGAGAGTGGCAGAGGGGGCTCCCACCAGCAGAGAGGCTCCAGCCCTTGCTCAAAGGCAAGGCATCACCCTCAATGCCTGCTGTGAACCACCACACCGAGCAGACATGTAGCAGGTGACCACCCCCGCCATACACCTCAAGGCAGACCTCGCAAGGCAGGGTTTTAATAACTTTGAGAAATTCAAGTACATCCCTCCAGACCAACTTAAGCTGGGGTAGAAGTGGAGAGAAGGAGATTAGAGTACATCAGACCCAAGGTCAGCTGCGTACCAAGGCTGTCCATACTCCTGGTCCCGGCGCGGAGAGCAGGCCTCTGTTTTTATCGTCACCATCTCCCCTAAGGAAGCCTGGGTCTGGATCAAACAGTCCTTCAAGTTTTCACTCATGTTCTGAAACAGAATGAAGGAGAGAAGAACAATGAGAGGCCAAGAAATGACAACTTTTCTCACCCAGGAACCACAGCCTTCCTCCCCCAGGCCAGGACATGGCCTGCAGGGCAGGCTCCCTCCCAGCACCAAGAGCCACCACCACAGGCTGGGGCATCTAGGTGTGCATGGAGGTGGAAACCCCTATCCCAAGCCGGGGAGGGAAGAGCAGCTCAGCTGCAGGGCAGGTGAAGAGGGCACGACACCATGGAGCAACCTGAGGCGCAGGGAATCCGAAGCACGCTCCACAGCACCCACAAAAGACACTGTGCGTGGAATTTAAGACCCATGGGTGGGACGTGTTACGGAAACGCAAAGCACCATTACCTGATAGCAAGCCTTTTGGGGGCAGAATGCCAAGAAAGAGGAATGCAGGTGGTGGCATGAACCAGGACCTACAAACATAACATATGCTGGTCCTACAAACATAACATATGCTGGTCTCCTTCTGGGAACAGAGTGCAGTATATTACACCCTGCAGATGGAGCCTTCCGTGTGCTCCAGCCACCTCTGACAAATGGGTAAAGGTCTACAGCACCCTGCCAGACTCCACCAAAATTGCTCAAGTCACGATCTCTACCTTCCTGTCCCTTAGGATGACCAGAGCTGAGCTACCATCACCCTTTTGGCACACAAAGCACTTAATGATGTCTAAAGACACCAAGCTCCGAAACAGTAACACTTCCCTCCTTCCCCTCGTCACATGGACAGCTACCATCACCCTTTTGGCACACAAAGCATTTAATGATGTCTAAAGACACCAAGCTCCAAAACAGTAACACTTCCCTCCTCCCCCTCGTCACACAGGGTGCTGAAGAGAAAATACTGACAATAATAAGAATAATAATAATTCAGAATTGGTTTAATTAAGATTTTTGAAAGGGACACTAAGCTTCAGAGCATCCCAGCTTGAGCCAAGGAATAAAGTAGAGCACGGCTCATTTCTTCATTGCGTTCGTCTTGAGGCTTCCTCCAAGGCAGGCAAACTGTTGGGTGCCACACCAGGTTAGACAGGGTGCTGAAGAGAAAATACTGACAATAATAAGAATAATAATAATTCAGAATTGGTTTAATTAAGATTTTTGAAAGGGACACTAAGCTTCAGAGCATCCCAGCTTGAGCCAAGGAATAAAGTAGAGCACGGCTCATTTCTTCATTGCGTTCGTCTTGAGGCTTCCTCCAAGGCAGGCAAACTGTTGGGTGCCACACCAGGTTAGACAGACTTCACAGCTGCCCCCTCCAAAGTCTCCCGTGACCCTCTCCTTTCCATGCCCACTGTCCACCAGCACGCTGTGTCCCGCTGGGCACCCACAGCACCCCATGGTCAGACCCCTTCTGTCAGGGGAAGCCAGTGGAATAGCCTGTCCCCATCACAACCTGGCTCTGGACATCCCAGAATCTTGTGTTCTGAGGCTACAAACCCCTGAAAACATGAATTTTCTTATTCCACACGTGCTTGCACAGGACTGAGCACCAGGGAAGCCTGGTCTGCGTTTGTGCCCTGTTTACAGTCAGAGGGAAGGCTGTTCCCAGCCTCTGGGGCTCCTGTTCGTGCCAGGGGACAGATGATTAATTTTTCCAGCTCAACTTCTCACATGCCAACGTGCTGCTTGAGAAAAAGACTTTACTGAGCCTGTAACGAGGAAGCACCAGTTAATATTCATACAGTGCTCTCAAAGCAAAGCCTCAACGCAAGTATGACCAGATACATGCAAACACACGTACTTTTAAGCCTCTACAAGATGCCCCAAACAAGGCACATCTTCTTTCAGCATTACCACAGCCAGTCAAGCAGGAAAGAGATATTAAGGGCAAGGTTGGGCCTCTATTTTGGCAGACTGAGCCCCTGGTGTCTGCATTCTCTGGAGCGAGAGGGAACCTCTCCAGCCCTGTCCCCACACGCCGGAGGGTGCTACAGGCAGGGGAGACCTGCCCTTCCCAGGGGAGAGGGAAAGGTCTTTTCCCCAAAAGTCTCTGCAGTAAAGCAGCTCAGGAGAGGGGGAAAAAAAAGCAGCAGCTGGGTGAGGGGGAAAATGTTAAAAACTAAGAATAGTTGGGTGCTGCCCCAAAGCTGGTTAGATGTGGGTTCTGTGAGAGGCAGACACTGGCAGTGGGGCAGATGCTCTTGGCTGGAAAACCCACCCGTTTGGGAAGGCTGGGGGACAGGGCACGTGGAGTTTAAATGCCCACAACACCCAAGGCTTCAGCAGGAGGAGATACAGATACCTGTCTCTGAAAAGACACTGGCTTTTCCTTTTCCACTCATCCCTCGTGGAGGCTCCTCCGCTACAGAGCAAGGGAGACCCTGCGATGGTAGAGCCTGGCCACAGCCCTTCAGCAAACACGGGGTTAAATACAGCCTACCTCCAACAAGAAAGAGGGGACAAAAACCCCACCAAAACCCGGAAGAAATCCAGTGTTTATTTTCCACACAAAGCTCCTCATTTTCACTGCAGGGCACATTTTGCAGCCCTCCCCTCTCACGGTCCTCCCTGAACTCTCTCCAGCTTATCAGCAGCATTCCTGGGCAGCACCAGCCGCAGCACCTTGCGCCGAGATAACACCCTGCTTGGGTTTTCCAGGGTGGCATCCAAGCTGTGACAGCCCTGGCTCCTGCCACAGCTCCCAGGCCACCAGATGACCCTGCCAACCCTCCTGCTGGCCCCTGTGACTACCTGCCCGGTTTCAAGACCCTCACACAGCTCCTTGCTGTGTCACCCGGCGTAGGCGCAATCACAGCTCCCCCACCGACCTGCCACATCAGGGTAGAAAAGACCTATTTTCCAAAAATCCGTGCAGATTATTACAATTAACACCCCTTTCAACCAAGAGCAATCAAATCCCCATCGGGCTATTACATTCTTTTACTGGAAGTCATCATCAGCCAGCCTAATATCCCAGTTTGCTCAGATTAGGCTTGAAAATTAGCTTTACTTGTTTATGATTAACACACAACTTCTTTTTTTTTCAGTCTAACTCATTGCAAATATGTTTTTTTTTAAAAAATAATATATTAGCGCTGCTCAGTCAGCCCTTTTAAAATCCCTGGATGCCAGAACAGCAAACTTAAAAGCATTCTGCCGTCGTAGCTGCTTTTGGGAATTTCCTGCTACAGGAGAGAGCGTTACCCAGTGGCATCACCCCGCTTTGCTGCCAGCTGCAGGAAAGGAACAGTCCACATCTCTCCCGTTTCAGGCATCGACAGATGACTCTGCTTCTAGGAGACTTTTAGCTTCCATTATACTTAAAGCTGCTTTTAATTTTTCTTGATTTTATTGCCGCTAGGTTCGCTTTCTTGCTCTTTCTCTTTGCCCTTTAAGTTTGCGTTAACAAGATTCCAGTTCACATTCTGTATTTTTCACTCTCTCCCCTTCATTTATTTTCATTTTTTAAAGGCAATTTTTAGAGTTGTGTTGGTTCTAAACACGAAGATTTCAGGTGAGACAGAAAAGCAACATGTACACATAAGCAGAGCAGGCTCTTGGGCTACTGCTTAAGGTATTCTAGGGGGTACTTGACCTCCCACATGCATGTCCTGGTGGCCACCAGGACAGCACCAAAGGACCTGCTGCAAAGTCCTAGCAGCCTCCTGGAGAAGACAATCCCTAGGCCAGTGGGATGTTCTGAAGAGCCAGGCACCATTTGGCCACAACGAGTTCTTTGGGCAGCAAAGGCGGTGGTGGCTGCTGCAAATTCCAAGAGGGTTCACAGGCAGTGCCAAGGAACCTCTCCCTTCTTCTTTACAAGGTCCCGTCCCATTTCTGCACAACACATGTGAAGATCTCCAGCGGCTTTACCATGTTGCTCACAATCAGGGAAGCAGAAAACACAGGAACACCTGAGCTGTTAATCTCCAACGCAGAGGAAAAAAAAAAAACCATCCAAAACGGGGTTAAGCATGAAGGAACCTGTGAATTCCTGTCCTCGAGTACGCTGCTTTTATCACTGCCCCTCTTGTAGTTATTAGTTAACAGCCACAGACTTTTATCTGCGTGGATCAGCCTCCAAAACAGAGCTTTAATTTTACATTTTACTGGCACGTTTCCCAGATGGGGACATTCTTGCATGTGAAACAGCCGTGCAGGAATCCATCCCCTCCTCGGCACACAGTTCCTTCACTCAGTTTCTCACTGCCGGCCTCCTGGAGGTCATCCCCTCTTCCTTTAAGAAAGATCTTGCGTGGCTTGTACCACATTTTAAAGCGCAGGCCCATGGTGAAAGATGGACTTGAATTCATGTGCTTTTTTCTACAGTTGCATATTATTACCAGAAATAGTACTCCAGAACAGTCGGCTACTGAGGACGGAGAAGGGGGAATAAAGCACGGCATTCAAGGCTCCCAGCTCCCCCCAAAGGGCCACAGAAGAGCCGGGCCAACTGCCTTCCCCGAGGTGAATTCACTAACCGAGGTCCTCGGTTAGGCCAACCGTTCTGGGTCACTTTATGAAGTCCCAGCTGGCCTGGCAGCTCACGCTCACGGCCAACGCAAACCCCGAGAGATGCCACGAAAGAAGAGGGAGAACCAGTTTGCCAAGAGGAGGACCACTGTCCACAGTGGGAAAACCACTTCTGCCTCAACAGTTGCCCCCATGTTCCTGTGGGTCAAGCTGTCCTCCATCCAGCAGAGCAGTGTCCTGGCACAGTGAAGGCTGGTGGCAGGGCAAGACCCGATGACCTGCCTCCCAACAGCCATGGAGCAGGGCTGAATGAAGCCCGTGCAGATGGAGACAGGCCAGGGCAGTCACAAAACCCAACAGAATTACTGAAAACTATAGGGTCTCTTCTCCCAAGTGACAGGACAAGAGGAAACGGCCTCAAGTTGCACCAGGGGAGGTTCAGGTTGGATATTAGGAAAAGTTTTTACAATGAAAGGGTTATTAGGCCTTGGAATGGGCTGCCCAGGGAAGTGGTGGAGGCACCATCCCTGGAGGTTTTCAAAAGATGAGTTGACATAGTGCTTAGTGACATGGTTTAGTGATGGGTTTTTTGTCAGAGTTAGTTGATGGTTAGACTA